GGCTGGCCATTTGTAATGGATAACAAATTGGTGTGTTCTTCCCTGGGGAAAACTATTTTCTCCACTAGCAGTATTCCTTATTTGCTTGTAGTTCTTTGTGTAGGACTGAGGCCTACCCAGCTTTACTATGTCTACTTTAGTGTGACCATTATAAATGTTCTTGTCTTGCTTGTGACTGGGGAGTCAAGTTGGTAAGACTTTATCAGGTAGCTTCCTAACACCACAAATGCCCTTAACTTTTGACACTTACATTCTCTCCACAAATATGTGGTTTGGGTTCTTAGCTCTCTGTTTCGCTGTAGATGTCTACATGTGAATCTTCTGCCACTTGTATTTTGTGTTGGTTATTACAGCTTTGTAGCATAATTTGAAAGTGGGTGATGCTGCTATCTTTGTCATCTTGTTCAGCATTGCTTTGAATATGTGTGTGTGTGTCCAGGGCAATACTATAATATTTTTACTTCTATTAAAATTGTACTGAAATTTCTTGTAAAATTTACATTGCAGTTCTATAATGCCTTGAATGGTAAAAGATTTGAAATATACTAATTCTTCTATTTAAAAAAAAATCTGTGTATCTTTCCTTTACCTAGGCCTTTGTCAATTGTTCACAAATTTACATAATTTTATATCATTTATTTCACTTCCTACGTCAAAATTATTTCTAAGTATCTTAATCCATTATAACCGTGTCTGTATTTTGAATTCTTTTTTGATAGTCAACTGTTAATACACTGCATACAGATTTATACCTTGAATTTCTATAGTTTATTGATTTTGACGCTCCCATGTATGGATCTTTCCATATTTGTCTCAGAGATGGGAAACTTTCTTCTACTTCTTTAAATGAGGTTTTGAGGCTTACAGTGGTCTTCTGTATTTGAGTCCCTAAACTTTCGTTGCTGTATGAAAAGTTGTTTTTTTTTTTTTTCCTTTCTGGTCATGCTTTTCTCTTTTCTTGACTATAATCTTTGCATTCATGGAATCATGCTTCACTATTTTCTCTGTTGATACTTCCCATTGACTTTGTTCATTGCACTTTTATGTCCATAATAATTATGTTTGAGCAAGTTAAATATCCATGTTTAATGCAACATTTTACTCATTTACTGTTTTGCAAGTTCACAAATTAAAAGCTAATTATAATAGGAGAAAAACTTTCAACGATCCCAACATTAAGGATATAGCATAGTTGTTGCTACCTACCCAAATTAAGATGTACAATAAGACTTATGATCAAACATCAGAATTGAAGTTAATTTTAGTGGTTCATGAAACAAAACATAAAGATATAAATATAGAGAAGGTACTTATAGTACATGGGAGTGGTTGACAGGGGGAGGAGGTAGATAAAAGAAAGTAAGTTGCAAGAGTAACCAGAAGACATTATGAACATATGTCAAGTTGTACAAGAATAAATTAAACTTTTAGAAAGAGCAACACTTTAAAAACTTTCTTTAAAAACTTCTAATTCATCAGAAAAACAGTTAAAGTTGAAGTTACTGTGGCTGTGAATGTTGTTGTTTTCTGATCTAATCAGTTTGCTCTATGGAAATATTTCCCAACATATTATCAGACATTGCTTTGCTAAGGAAAAGAATAAGGAAAGAAAATTTTCCTCACACACTTGCCAGTATCTTATCTTCTGTCATTTAATTTTAGATAGTAGCAATTCTCTTTGTAGTGAGACATAATTTAAAGTAGTGTTAATTTTTGTTTCCCTGCTGGCTATTGAGATTGGACACTTTTTAAAGTGGTAATGACCATTCTACCCTAAGCAATCTACAAATTTAATTAAATCCTCATCAAAATGTCAACACAATTCTTCAAATAAATTGAAAAAAAAATAGTTTCTACTTCATAGGGAAACAAACAAACAAACAAAAACTCGGGATAACTAAAAACAATCCTGGTTAATAAAATAATTGTGGTAGTATCACTATCTCAAATTTTCACTTATATTATACTAGAAAGCTATGTTAATAAAATCAGTATAGTCTTGGCACAGAAACATATACATTAGTCAATTAAATTGATTGAGGACCCAAACATAAATACACACACCTATAAACAACTGCTTTTTGACAAAGTCAGAAACATACACTTTGAATTAGAGAACATCTTCAACAAATGCTGATGGCCAAACTGGAGGGCTGCATGTGGAAGAATCCAAATAGATCAATCCTTATCACCCTGCAGACAACTCAACTCCAAATGAATCAAAGACCTCAAAATAAAACTACATACATTGAACCTCATAGAAGAGAAAGTGAGAAATAGCCTTGAACTCATTGGCACAGAAAAAGAACTTCTGAACAGAACACCATTAACAAAAACACTAAGATGAACAGTTAAATAGAACCTCATGAAACTGAGAGGCTTCTGCACAACAAAAGATAGTCTTTCAGAAAAAAGGGCAGCCTGCAGAATGCAAAATACTATTTTTTACTAAGTACACATATGGTAGAAGGCTAATACACAAAATATATAAATAATCCAAAAAACTAGATATCAAGGGAACAAATAACCCAATTAAAATTATTAGTAAATTTCTTTATATTTATTTTGGGAAGAAAACTTAATTTTATTATTATAATCATGTACAAAGAAAGTAGATATAGATGTAATGCATAGATTTGTGCTTCTGTTCCTTCAGTGTTTTAAAGATATATCAAAGAAAGATTAGCAATTTTATATTCAAATTTTCTCAGTTTGTTTTATATTTGTATATAAATTGTAACAGTATTACAGATGACATTGAATCACACTCTTGAAAAAAAATGATCCTCCTTTTCCATAGCATCCACCATCTGTCAGTATTTCAGATAGATGTTGAGAATCAGGAGCTCTTCTCACATGCTGAAATGTTGACTGGCTTGATCTTATGTAGGTCTTGTGCCATCAAAATGGTAAGGGGACAAGGCAGAAAGAAAGGATCTGCAAATTTAAAATGAGATATTAATATAACCATTAAGCTCAAGACATTTTCTTGTTCTTTTCTATATATTAGATTTTCATTACTGAAGGAATGAAGTATTTAAAAAATGTTTAACTGTCTTAGACGGGCAGTGGTGGCACACGCCTTTAATCCCAGCACTCAGGAGGCAGAGCCAGGTGGATCTCTGTGAGTTTGAGTCCAGCAAGATCCAGGAAAGGCGCAAAGCTACACAGAGAAACCCTGTCTCTAAAAACTAAAAGACAAAAAAAAAAAAAAAGGAAAAGAAAAAAGTGTATATCTGTCTTAATGTCTTTAAATGGGTATTTTTTTTTTATTTCAAGGCATGTTTTCTGCTTAGTGCTGGCTGCCCTGGACTTTACTCTGTAGACCAGGCTGACCTTGAACTCACAGAGATCTGCCTGCCTCTGCCTCTCAAGTGCTAGGATTAAAAGCGTGCGCCACCATGACCTCATAAATGATCATCTTCTAAGGTAGTAGAATGGGAAATAATTGTTAGTGATAGTAGCCTGTTTAATGCCTAAGTCATGATAGGACCAAAGCAGTGAGAGGCCAGTTTGGACATCACAGCCAGAGAATGTTTCAAAAACCAAGAAAAAAAAGTCACCAAAGAAATAACAGCCCTTCTGTAAGTAAGTAAATACAAAAGTTACAGCGAAAGAGTATTTAATGGCTGGCCTCCTGGCACTAAAGTTCTTCTAATCTCACAATCTGGCTCCTAAAAAAATGGTGCATGGTGTTTCTTTCAGGCAGAGGTATATGTCTCTTTATTTTTGCTTCTTTATTTCAGATGCATTTCATGAAACTTTCACTGGTTCACAGGTAAAGGTGGCATAGTACTCCAAACCCCAGATACTGAGGAATGGGTAATGAACTAGAGGAATTATTACAGAAGCTCAAAATATTAGACTCCTCCCAGGGAACTATACCCCAGGGCTGGTAACCAGAATTCTACCACCAAAGGAAGCACTCATTTTCCAGAAAAAAAAGACTTACCTCAGAATTCTGGTAATTTATGTCACAACGGAGAACATACATTTATTTTTTCTTGTTTTGTTTTCATGTTTCCTTTCCACTGTAATACTGTCAGGGGAAAGGTAGACTGAGAATATTTCTATACCCAGTTTTGAACAAAATAATACATAAAATAATTTCCTTTCATTAATTTCTCTCTTCTGTTTGTTTGGTAGAGAAAGATAAACTCATATGTATTTGCAAGAACATTAATTATTTTTCATTTAAATGTATTGGCTTCTTAAAAATCCTATTGCCTTGGAAATAATCATAGCCTATTATTTTTCTGCTATAATGCTTGTAAATTACTGTACATGGAACTTGAAAGTATATTATAACTTCATATGCACCTGTTCATCTTTTTTTTATCAGCAGTATTTTGACATGTTCTGTTCATATCCTTGTGAAGTTAATGTTTTACCTCATGGCTATCAGCTTCTAATTCATAAGTGTTTTACTATATTCATTCAAATAGCAAATTATATCTTGAAAAAATTTACATTCTCATTTTTGTTATACTTTTGTATAAACATTTCTAACTTCAATCTTTATTTTTTTTGGAAGGTTCTACATTTTATTACGGGACAAACTACTCCCAACTTAAAACACGACCCAGTCTTCAGGTTAAAATGTTGAACTCCATGTGGTAGGATTGCTTGATGACCCACAATTCAGTATAAACTGTCTTGCCATTGAGTGAATCCTTATAGACCCAGCTTTGTTTTCCTCCAGTGTCTTCTCTTGGAGTTGTACCTTATTTTGTTACCAGTTTTCATCTGAATTCACTGAGGAATAGGACGATTTTGCTTTTGTTTCTTGGCCCGGAATTGCTTGATTCTGAAAGTCTTGTGAGAAGACATGGTGAGAAGCCAAGGCAGGAGCCCACTGCACGATGGAGGAGTAAAGGAGAAGAGGTCTAACTTCAAACTTTATACATCACACACAACTTCATGAAAATTTTCATGTCAGTGATAAAAAAAATATTACAAAAGTGTCAATCCCTGTATCCGTGAAGGGAATGATTTGCAATATGTTCACGGCACTGCAGGTGGTTCACATTCTTCTCCATTTCTTCATTAGACTTTCTCTAACCTCCTTGTTTCGAAGGGTATAGATGAAGGGATTGAGAACTGGAGTTACCACTGTATTGAGCACATGGACAGCTTTGGTCAGCTCCAAATCATCTTTGATGGAGGTTCGAACATGGAGGAAAATTGTAGACCCATACCAGATAAGCACCACAGTAAGGTGAGAGGAGCAGGTAGAGAATGCTTTGCTTCGGCCACTGGCAGAAGGTATCCTCAGGATGGTGCTGATGATGTATACATAGGAAATAAGAGTAATGAGGCAGGAACTCAGGATAACCACAAAGGCTATCACAAAAGCCACTGTTTCCACTGCCTGTGTACTGGTGCAGGCCAGGGCAATCCAGGGTGCAATGTCACAGAAGAAATGATTGATAGCATGGGGTCCACAGAAGGACAAGGTGCTGATGAGGGCTGCTGGCACAGATATGACCAGGAATCCACAAATCCAGGAGCTAAGAGCTAGCTGTGCTGAGAGTAGACTGTTCATTATAGCCTGGTAGTGTAGAGGAGAGCAGATGGCAAGGTAGCGGTCATAAGCCATAGCTGCCAAGAGGAAGTATTCTGTGCAACCCAGTGAGAAAACGAGGTACATCTGCAAAAGACACCCTGAAAATGTTATGGTCTGGCTTCTCCCCACCAGGATGGCCAGAGCTTTGGGGACTGCAGCTGTGGTATACCAGATTTCCAAGAATGACAGGTTGCTCAGAAAGAAATACATAGGAGTATGTAACTGGTGAGAAGTACTGACCAATAGCAAGATTGCCATATTACCACCAACAGTAAGGAGGTACATCACCAGAAACAACATGAAAAGAGAAAGCTGGAGGACCTGAGGCCCAGGGAAGCCCAAGAGAAGAAAGTCTTGGGCTAGTGTCACATTCTCTGTGGTCATCCCGCTGATTTCAAACCAGGGACAGACTTTCCTCACCTAGGCCCTTAGCCCGGTAGTGCAGTCCTAGAAAAATGAAAAAAAGTAACTTCATGAAAGCCTGACGTTTAGACTAAGAAACATTTCCTGCCACAGAAACCTACTGCAGAAAATTAATGTGCAAAGATTTCCTGAATATTCACTAAGGTCATGATGATAGCTACATTACAGATTGCTTTTTGGTTATACTGAGTTCCAAGATTTAAATCCTTCCACTGCCTGCCTCATTCCACCTCAAGCCTTCAAAAGGCTAATGATTTCATGGCTATATTTTTAACTGCTGTATGTGTGGCAAATGAGAAAATAAAACAGCTTTCAATGGAAAAAATAAATAGCTTCTAATTGTTCAGAAATTGGCCTAACAACTTAAATCAGAACTACATTTGACAGCTACAAAGCCTAAGTTATTTTTCTAATTCATCAGCTTAGTGCACAAAAGTAATATTTATCTTTCCTGATTTATATCGTTTCTTATGATTATGATGATGATGATGATGATGAAAATGACAATAGTAATAATACAAATAAAATCCATATAGAAAAACTGTGAAACAATGGACATCATTGACATCAGTAAATGAGAGCAGGTGAAGAGTAGAAAGTCCTTTGAAACTTTCTTTTTAAAATACAAAATTAAATTGTGTCTATTTCTTACCTATTGTGAATAATTCAACAATAAATATGGCTAAGCAAGTAAATGTGAAGCTCAGTCTTGTTTCTTATGTCTCTCACATTGTGTATGAGGTCATCTTGTTAAGATAGGCACATTTGCCTACTCTTGTTAATTCATCCATTTTTCTGTCTAGTTGTACAGTTCCAGTCAATGAATCTGTGATGGGCAAAGGAAAAATAGTTTTAATTTTCTTACACTGAAGTAGTAAAACACATAATAATTAGAGTATTAGTTACTCTAGTGGAATAAAAATGGCTTTAGATATTATATTTGACCTAGAAGAGAAAAATAAATAAAAGAAGGTGATCAGGGGGAAATGCTAATTAAGTTTTCTCCCACAAAATTGTTAAGACAATTCTTAACTATGTGTCAATCTGTGCATTTTGCAGATTGATTTCTTTAATGGATTGTAAAGGTAGCAAATGTTTAGTTGTTGAAGCCCTTCAGTCAAAAGTGAGCACCTCTGTTGTTATTCACTTGCTACATTTTAAGTAGTAGTAAAGTAGCATCAAATTGAATTTATACTGACAGCTTCCAGTGGTGTGAAGCCTCATAATATTATTCTCTAAAATATGGATCCTCAGCATGAAGGGTGTTTCAAATGAAAGCAACACAGAAAACTGCAGAATTAGGAGGGTCATTTGCTAAACTTCTTTTCTCCTGAAAAGCCACAAATGTTGAGATTCCTGCTGGTATCCACAGTGAAGAAATAGCACACCAAGTAAGCAAATGAATTCTCAACAAACACACTACTACATTCCTTTCTGCTTATCACCATTTTATCTTTTTTCTTTTCACCATATATCATCATGAAACGTGCATCATGTTTCTCTTGGTATTTTTGTTTTAATTCCATGTCATGAAACTTAAGTATATTTAAGTGGTATTTTAATAAGAAATATCATTATGCAGGCTAGCCTTACATTTTCTCTTTTTAATATGTTCTTGTAGGAAAGCCAACCATAAGCATTACAGTGCTAACTGAAAGCTGGTTTGTCAGTCACTCATTCATATCTAACATCATCTTTATAAATCTCTAAGCATGGTTTTGCTGCTGTTGTAAACTAAAGATTGATAAGGGTGGGGAATAAGCTGTTTTAAAAGTTCTACACAGTACTGCTTGACTCATTGGGACATCTGGTCTTAAGAGAGCAGAACATTATAGGGCCAGAGAGAAATTATCTTAGCCAATTCTTATCTTCTTTTTATAGTCATGTATTTCCAAACAGTTTGACCTAAAATTCTAGTATCTGTAAGTTAAATCCTTTTAAAAATGTTTGATGTGACCCCTAGCATTCATCGAACCTAAGGCCCAAAATGTCATCAGACAACATTTGAAGCCTATAGCTAGATGTCCCTATGTTGCTCTAGCCTGCTTACCAGAAGTTCCTAACAGTGTATTTTAAAGATCCCTTGATTTGTTACTTCCTTTGTTTTGTATAGCAAAAAAAACTGTAGAAACGGTTACCACATTGAGACACAGTATTTGTAGCAAAGTAGAACTGTGTTCTAAGGCCCTGCTCTTTCATATTTTTGTCTAAAATGATCTTTTATACCAGGTGGAGTGAGAGTTGTGTTTGTGTTGACATCCTGACACTTTATAGACAATGATTAAAAATAGAAGCCAAAGAAATTTCCAAAACAGAACTTTTACACTTATTCCTAGCAGCTTGGCCACAGAGTCACAGCATGTTTAAACTGGTACTTTCAGGGACATTTCCAAGGTCTCTCTACCATCAGATTCTTAGGTTAAAAAAGATGGTGTTTTAATATGTGCAAGTACAATTTCCTTGTCAAAATAATTAAGAAAATATACTGTATTAATGGATATCATCCTAAATTTATGAATGTATCAAACAAGTATATTCAACCTCATCCATTTTCTAATTTTAAGATATAATCTAAATGAATAAAAATATACAACAAATAGAATTTCTGTCATTTTACAATGAAATGACCTTTTCATATTTTATGTTGATTAAGCTACTGTATTCTTTTGGAATCATGAACTAATATTTGTTTGATATGTGAATATCTTTTCCTGTGTACTTAAGACCTATGTATAGTGCTTTGTCATTGGGAGGATCAAGTACTAATTCTAAGATCACCTAAGTAAGAATTTTCTGTATTCAACCAACAAGAGAGAGATAGGAGGATAAAAAATAAAGTAGACAAAGGAACATATAAGATCAAAGTATATATAAAAATGCCATTATAAAACAAACCCATTACCTTATATGCTAACACCCAAAATATGTATGATATTGATATTGCATATCTGAAATCACATCACTCAGCATATGAAGGCAGGCACATTTCTGAGCTCAAGGTTATCTTGGGGGCACCAAGAAGTACTTGTCATAGAAAATGGAGAGAAGAGAAAGGAAATAAATTTAAAATACTATAATTAAAATGTCATTTGATTTTGAAAATTAGTTAACAAATTAAAACTAACTAATCTGTTTTATGGAAATAGATTGTGTATTACACATTTTTTGAGTGTATATTATAATTTAAGTTTCTCATGTGTGCAATCATCAAATTTTGAAGATAGTACATTTTTATAAAAATAGATTTCTTTTTTTTACCAAAGGTTACATTTAGGTTATTTCTGACTTTAAGATTGAGGTATTAATCAAATGCTACAGTGGCTCTGTTATAACAAATTTGTCAATACAAAACGAACTTAACTTTGGAAACAATATACTGAGTACAATATAATCCATTTGCTTACCTAGTTGTAGTTTTTACTTCTATAAAGTTCATAAAGGCCACACGTTGTCTTCCAACCTCACACGTTTCTTTTGTTGGTGTGTGATTTTCTTTTCATGAAGGATTACATTTTATTCTGATCTCTCTCTCTCCTGTGTGTGTGTGTGTGTGTGCACGCATGCTCTTCTGTTCATCCCTTGTGGTTATTATATTATTATTGTATGGTATACTTTATTTGCTTTTGCATTCATTGTTTGATGAATGCCATCTTTTCTGGTCTTTGAAACTGCCCAAATTTTCTGTGTTTCCTTTGGTCTTTTTTCAGGTTAAACTTCCAATTTGTTGTTTGACTTCTTCCTCACTTAATCATAATGAGCTTCCTACTGAAAGCAATTTTCTATTAAGTAACTGCTTATGTAGAGATGAAACCTTTGGGAGGAAGTTAATTTTCTCTCTTGGGCATTTAGGGTCACTTCCAAAAACTGTGACCACTGGCTAAACTTTCATAAATGGGAGACTTCAGAATTGTTGGCTTTTTGATATACTGATCATTTGTAGAAATTTATAACATGAGGTAATATTTTTTTCAGTAAACCTTGCAATTTAGTTGGTAATAGGAAACCTTGTTTTCTGTGCTTTTTTTTTTTTGTGTGTGTGTTCTGAGAAAGAACATGAAATTAAGTGAGTATGGAGGGCATATCTGTGAGGTGTTGGCAGAAAATAATATGATAAAACTACATTGCATGACTTTTTTAAAGAAAAAATAACTATAATAATGGTTTTGGAGTGTAATTTTGTGATGGGACATGAGACTGGATCAACATTAAGAACACTTCCCTAGCCGGGTGGTGGTGGTGGTGGCGGCAGCAGCGGCGGCGGCACACGCCTTTAATCTGAGCACTCGGGAGGCAGAGGCAGGTGGATCTCTGTGAGTTCGAGTCCAGCCTGGTCTACAGAGCCAAATCCAGGAAAGGCACTAAGCTACACAGAGAAACCCTGTCTCAAAAAAACAAAACAAACAAAACAAAACAAAAAAAACACCACTTCCCTAAAAATAATCAGAAGAAAGAAATTGAAATCAACATATGAAATAACAATGTAACAATTGTCACTGGTCAAAAGTAGCAAAAATACTTTATATCACTATTCATTTTTCTTAGAATATTTTATTACTAAAAAATAATTCAACACTGAAAAATATTAAAACTTTGTTATAAAACTCTGCTGCTGTAAAAGATAAAATTAAGTTTCTCTTGTGAAATATTTTTTTAGACTTTGTCCAGAACTATGTTTCTACATGTCCAAAGTCTCCATTTAACAATGTCAGGATCTAATTCTTGACAATTTTCCATATTTTTTCAATACAGTTTATTCTCATATTTGTATTCACATTATAATTGTCTGTACCAGAAATAGAAAAATGTGACTTCCTTTAGTTTGGTAATAACATTAAAATAGTATTATTTAAAAAGTTTTTTTGTAGAAATATAATTCACAGCAATGCAAAACAAAATATTCTAAATAATTTCCTATTTCTATCTATAAATGATCATTCTTCTCCAGTTTTTTTCTCTTGTGTCTAGAGCAAAGAAGAAATATTTGTGTGTTGGGGTTAAAGCATAGGTCACTAATCCTAAGCATCTCTTTTTCCAATTGCATTGTTCTCAGTCCCTC